ACGGCGGTGTTGCCCCCAGGTGTGCGTGGCTCTCCAAGTACCAGGACAACGGGCAGTGGCTGCAGATCGACCTCAAGGAGGTGAAGGTGATCTCGGGGATCCTGACGCAAGGGCGCTGCGACGCCGACGAGTGGATGACCAAGTACAGCGTGCAGTACCGCACCGACGAAAACCTCAACTGGGTTTACTACAAGGACCAGACCGGCAACAACCGGGTCAGTGGACTCGGCGATTCGGCCTTGGGGAGGGTGTTTGGTGACATGAAAGCCTCACGTCTCGGTGAGGGAGGTGGGTCTTTATGGGAGGACGTCATGCCGCAAGTGCAGGGGCTGGCAGGGCCACGCGGATGTCCCTGGGGGCAAGACGGCTCTTTGTCCCAGCAGGGACCCTGCACTGATGGGCATGTGGTGCTGGGGGGTGGGGGCTGCAGCCCTGCGGCCCTCACCGCTGGGCTGGGAACGCCGTGACCCGTCCTGCCGATGTGGGGAGGAGAGGATGTGGGTGCATGTTGCAGCTGTGAGCGTGCGTGCAAGGGAGCAAGGACAGGGAATAGGGAGGGAGAAGCATTGCAGGATGCCCAAAACAGGGTGGGAGGAATGGGAACATAGTGACTGAGGTGCAAGAAGAGCTCTTTTAAGAGATTTCACTGTAATATTCACAAACGGAAACACAGTGATGCTTTAAAGGGGTTTATCCTGTTTAATGTTTGGTTTCTTTGGAAACTCTGTGTGCTTGGGAACGATATTTAGGGGTGCCTTCAGAAATGGTCTTAGAAGAATTTCTCTTAGAAATACTCTATCAGCACCAGATAAGGCCGTAGCTCTGAGGAAGGCTGGCGACAGTGCTGATCAGTAGCAGAAGGCTTGAAAAATGCATTTTTCTTCTAATGACAATATTGAAGTCTAAACGAGGCTCAGTCGGATGGTGGCATGAGCTGACATTTCAAAGGAGGCTGCACCTCTGTGATAAAACTCTTGGTTGGGGCCGCGTAACCCCAACGATGCCTGGACCCTGCGAAATGAGGGCTTCCTCATTTGCCATAGGGCCAGGGCTCACGCACAACGACGATGCAGAGGCAAAACACGGAGGCAAAATCCATGACTATTTAAATCATCATCCACTGAGCTGTTCTCGCACTGCATTTGCTAGTGGTTGATCCAAAACAAAATATTGCACCGGGCACCCTACAGCGTTGCTTGTGGTCCCCGTGCTGCCCGCACCGGCTGGGCTGGGGGTGTCCTAGCATCCTGCTTTCGGGGTCCTCCCTGTCGATGAGACTGTGCCGTCCCCCGGCCTAACTGGGGATGTCCCAGCAAAAAATGGCACGCGCCCCACGCCTATCCCGTCCCCCCGCTGACTCTCGTGCCTTGGCTGTGGCTCCTCTGGCCCGGGCACGGGAGGCCTGAGCCCGTGGCACCCACGCCGCTGCCGGCACCGAGGCCTCGTCTCTGCCCCGGGCTGGCACACTGTATTCCTAGTAATTCCTGAGGATTTACTATGAGCAAAGTCATGCTTTCAGGGGTTTTGTCAGAGCAGCAGTTCCTGCAGTCCTGGGGAGACGCTGAAGCTTTCACTGAAAAACAGGTCGTGAAAGCCATAGCTGGAAACACGGCGGTGTGACCAGCAAAGCGGCAGGGAAAGCCAAAAGCCCGTTCTCTGTTTTTTCTGTGTCAGCCCAGCTGGGAGCCTGGCTCATGAATTGCAAACACCCGAGATTAGCCGTCTTGCTAGGGGAAGTCAAATGAGAGCTAAATTAATGAGCTTAAGCGTCGTCTAACTAGAAAAAGTAGAGGAAAGGTGGGGGAAAGTGACCCGTTCAGAAAACCCAGACACAGGGATGCAGGTTGTCTGAGTCCTGCTATTTTCAAAGCCTTTTTTGGGGCAGGGGGGTTGGCCACCCTCCTCTTCCGCTCCACGTCTGCATCCCAAACTGGCAGCTCCTCGCAGCCCCCTGCTGCAGTGGGGCTGGATTTCCCCCTTCCCGGGGCAGGGTGCCCCAGCCTCCTTCACT